TGGTCGCACTCCTTTCTTTATTTCGTAAAAGGGCAAAAATACCATCAGCAGTTTCTTGGAGACGTTGAAACTTGTTTGGTAATATCCTATTCGGAAATCGCCTGGCATATTCAGGACGGATTAGCATTGCAAAAACCACATACAAACACCATATCGGCATATTCACCATTAGTATAAATGAAAAGCATAATGATGAATAATCTGCCAAAGACTCTTACAAACTGATAAATTTTATTGAGAGTTCCCAATGCTAATTCCAATCTATTAACCCTTATGTTGCCAATAGTTTTTAGTTAGAGATAAAAGGCCATATTAGCATTCTATCTAATCCATCTCCTAAACAAAGCGTTTACGGATATACCTTCACTTTGAACAACATTTAGTGTGAACTTTAATGTTTATATATAATTAATAAAGTATAAAATCGAAGTTCAGTGTTTTTTTAGAAAATCATCATTTTTGACTAATAGAAAGCGATAAATGAAGAAATATTTAATTTAAGTAATTAACAACTATTTCAATGTAAACTAGATTAAATTTTCTTCAAACGAATATAGAATTTGTCATTTTTCAATCCATTTGAAGAGGAATATTTTAGCCATTAAACTTGGCTAAGTTCTGTTTTTAAAAAAATAATAAATTATTGGCGATTTTATTTATCATTATCCAACTATGCTACAGAAACCTCACTTTTAGAAAAAAATCTTCGTTTGATAAGCTTCAAGTTCATATTAATTAAATTGAGGTTTATTAGACCAATTCTTGAGATTCGCCTCAAGCTATGTAAAAAAATGATGTCAACTTCTATCCAATCACCTAATAGTGCTTATGTTTTCAGCAAATATGTCTACAATGAATTGTTGCAAAGCTTTTAATTTTTTTTTTCATGATCTGAGATTTATTTTAATAAATATAATTGCCTAAATGTACTGTTAATTTATAAATAAAAAAAATAATAATGATTTTTTAAATATTTTTTATGTAAAATATTTACGAAACTGTGTTTTTTCTCAGACCTCCGCTATAGAAATTGGTCTGTATTTATAAGTGACAAATTTAGATTTATAGTACTAAAATTTACGTTTAAAACAAAAAAGTCCTGTTAGTTGCTTTAATTATTTTTATAAAAACGTAAATCTTAGGACTAGAAACATGAAATTTGTCACTAATAAATACGGATCAGCTCCGTTGACAGAGATCTGAGAGAAACATATAATTCCGTGAACACTTTCCATAAAAAGTATTCAACAAATCATTATTATCATTTTTTTTATTTATTAATTAAGAGTGTATTTAGAAAATTATTTTCATTATAATATATCCCAGATCATGGAAAAATAAGAAATAAAAGCTTTGCAATAGTTAATTGTAGTCAATTTTGTTGAAAACACGAGAGCTTTTAGGTAACAAGATGAAAAATCATTTCTTTATACTAATTGAGGTGAATCTCAAGAATTCGCCTGATAAACCTAAATTTAATTAATATTGAATTGAAGTTTATTACACGAAGAAGTTTTCTTAAAATTGGAGTATCTATAGTATAGTTGGATAATGATTAAAAAAAAAATTACCAATAATTTATGATTTTTTTAAAAACTTAGCCAAGTTTAGCCGCTCAAAAGTATTCTTTAAATGGTTAAAACAATGACAAACATTATTTTTGTGTACAGAAAATTTTATCTACTTCACAGTGAAGCACTTGTTAGTTACTTAAATTACATATTTCGTTAGTTATCACTTCCTATTCATCAAAAAGCATGACTTACTTAAAAAACACTAAACTTGGATTTCCTACATTTCTGCTGAGAATTTTCCTATTGTTTATATGAACTTTTTAGTAGGGCTTTAGATCTGCTTTAGGTAAGTGAATGTAAAAAATAAAATCCTATCAAATGGAGCAGTTGGAAATATATATCTCTTCAATGTCATCAGCCAGGCGTGGGCAGAGCCTTCCGCCATTACCCTCTTTGACTGTAAGCGGGAGGAGTAAGGTCTTTGTATGGCTATTAATAACGAGCAGAAACGGTTGTCTCCTTCAACGAGAGGCTATTATTGCCAGCGGCAGGAGGAAATCGATACTCCTCTGATGAGTCAAAGTAAATTTCATTAATAACATCCCATTAATCCCGCAGAGATCTCAGAGTCGCGCGTCACAACGAAACGCACACCATTTAAACAGTATGCCTGTCGTCATACTACTCAAATTATGTCAATCTGAATATGGTACTAATCGTTGATCCATATTTCTGTGTGTCAATGTATTTCGTCAATATTATTATTAAGTGACACAGCTAATGTAGGTGAAGGTAATTTTTTTTCGCCATTACATGTTTTCATTGCATAACAATTCTTTTGACTTACCTTTTTACTTTCACGTATACATGTAATATTATATTACAATTAATGATTATATTATAATATTAATATCATATAAAATATAAATAAATATATACTATTTATTATATTATTAATGATTGTATTATAATCATTACAGATTTTTAAAATGAATATTTGTTGTTGCCTTTTTTTTTTCTCATTGTTTGTGGTCTTCTAGAAATAGAATGCGTCGCACTATATCAAGGTAAAATAGATCACATTTCTTTTTTCTGTGAGGAAATAAATAACGAGAAAATTTAAGATTTAATTTAACCGGCGTTTGATAATCACCAGTGTATATAAATATGTGAAGTAAATTAAGATATAACTACAATGAGGCTTCGAACCGCTGAGCCATCATATGTGAAAGTGCTGAATTCCGTTGATGGTTTGAACTTGAGTTTTGAAACTTTGCATATACCCAGAAAGTAAATTGAAAATAAATTTATAATGTAAATTGAGATATAACAACACTGAGGTTTCATTCTGGGGATCTATCGACTCCAAAAGCCGATGGAACCGCTGTGTCATCGGTGATTCAATCGATAAATAAATTAACGTGCTGGATTCTATCAATTCATTTAAGATCTTTCCCAAATATTTATATGTTTGAGGGAAATAATATTTTCTAAATTTCTTGAAAATAATGTATTATCTCAATGCTAATTGTTTTTAAAGTCAATTGTAACATTGCTAATTTTTCCTTTCCTTAAAAATAGAAATATTATTGTATTTTTGATAGAATATATCGTAGAATTGCTACTGAATAATTTAGTTTCATATATTCTTATTCTTCCCTACCTTGCCTTTTTAGGCTATACGGGGGTTTTTCCCGGGACAGGAAGTGAGGGCGGGAAATTTAAAAGACCCCTAGACACCGGGACGCGAACTCGTAATTTTATTGTCTCCAACTTTGGTGATCAGGTTGCCAGGCAAGGCGTTGCTGTGCACACGTTAGCCCGTTCTCGATCAAGCAGTGTTCTCCATCGCTTCTCCACAATACTGCTGTTTACGGATTCCAATAGTAGAGCCTCATTTGCCTTATTTATTTATTTTATGGTTCTATGAAATGATATTCGATTTTCTGAATGGTACAATGTTGAATCTTTCTTAGCGAGTTTATCAGGGCTTTGCCATGGAGACCACATTTAATTGGTAACCATTGAATGAATACCTATGTTCCTTGAAGAAGTCGTTCCTCTATATTTTTTTTGCCCTTCCGAATATCCTAAGCTAAGGAATCACCCGGCCATGTCACAGCGAGGATAGCCGGCTTTGAAACCACAAAAAATAAGATTTTTTTGACATCAATGTGTGACAAGACTTGTAATGCCAATAAAGTTGCTTTAATTTTGCTGTCAAATTTGAGAGCCATTTCCCAACCGGTTTCGAAACAGCAAATCCATCGTGTGATGCTACTTCGACAGACCCATCCGAGTATACATGAATCCAAGGAGGGTCTGGATAACGTTCAGATATCATTTCAAGAGCCAGTGATCTTAGTTTTTCTGGTATAACATCATCTTTTAGTTATGCCCGTTAGGGTATAATAAGGTTGAAGTTATATGATGCTGTTTTTACAGAAAACTGAGTTGGGTACTAGAGAAAGTGGTTCAAGGAGAAAGGAGCAAGTTTATTTTTTTTTAAGCTGTTGAGCTTTATCTAAGAAAGTAACTTGTGTTATAAGTGTTTTCGATTCTGGCTAATTCTTTGATCAGTACTCTATAGGAAGTCTACGTAGTCGTTCTTAAAGACGTATTGAACTTATTTCTCTACGCTTCGCTATTGGCTCGACGTTCGCTTGTTAGCCATGCAGACTTCCTCGCACCTGTTATTATCCGAAATGCTTAGTATTGAACTTTCTCAAATAGTTGCCTTGCACTTTCAGGTGCTGTTATCAAGAGTTCTCCAGCGTATTCCAAGTAAGGTCGCAGGAACATTTTGTACGCCAAAGAAAGTACATCTAAGTCGCTCCCCACTTCGTTGGATACATTCTCTGTTTCCCTTCATTAGCCAATTCCTCCGCATGTAGACTCCAGTTTAATCTGTTATCAACTTTTACTCCGAGAAAGGTGGCTTCTTTATTCCTTGGTAATACATCTGATCCATATTTTAAAGTTATAGGAGGAATATTTTCGGCTAGCAAAAACAGTTGAAATTCTGTATTTGGTGTATATATCACCATTTCACTAACCTCATAACACATTCTTAGTTTCACCAGAACATTGCTCAGAAATCTTCCATAGCAATTATGTTGCTACTAGTTGCCCATAGATCAAATTCTTCACAGTCAATAGAATTTTTAGCCCAGGAAATGTTTTCTGCAGAAATTCAGAGGTCTCAGCACTGACCTCATGAGGAGTCCTCATTTAACAAGCAAAAGATGAGGACCACCATCAGTTGGCCTGATGAAGGTCAGATAAAAAACCGAAATTGGTTGCGCAAAAGTGAAAAAAAAATTGAATATACAGAAAGACAACGTCTTTTTTTTGTAAAATAAAATATATTAATACTATGATAATTATCAACAGTTATTGTTATTACCTTAAACTAAAATTAACCCTTTATTGTTGACAGGTTATGGACATTCGACACCGAATACGGTAGGCGGTAAACTGTTTACCATGTGCTACGCCATCGTAGGGATTCCACTTGGCCTCGTAATGTTCCAGAGCATCGGTGAGAGAGTGAACAAACTTTCCTCAGTAGTGATCCGTAATGTGAAACGTTTGCTCGGTTGTCGGAACATTGAAGCGTCCGAGATAAACCTGATATTCGTAGTGACGACCCTATCAAGCCTCACGATTGCCGGGGGCGCAGCGGCGTTCAGCCGCTATGAAGGATGGTCCTACTTCGACTCTGTCTACTATTGCTTCATCACCCTGACGACAATCGGGTTCGGGGATATGGTCGCCCTCCAGAAGGACGACGCCCTCGACAAGAAACCCGAATATGTGGCCTTTTCCTTGGTCTTCATCCTCTTCGGCTTGGCCATAGTCGCTGCTTCGCTCAACCTCCTAGTCCTCAGGTTCGTCACAATGAACACGGAAGACGAAAGGAGAGACGAAGCGGAAGCACTACAGGTAAAATATTTCTGTATTCTAACTATTGTAATATATTTGATATTCTATTTTTTTTTTTTTAATTTCTTTATTGAGTATTATAACAATCTGTCTGTTGGACATTGGTTATAGTGAGGTAGGATGACATTCACACCATATGTACAAAAAAAAAAAAAATAAATAGAACAAAATAATAATCAAAAGTATATACAATAGACAATAAAATAAAATAACCTAAAAAATAAGAAAATTAAAACTAAGGAAAAAAAAAAACACATGCATACCTATATACAATCAGGCGAGGGAACTCCAGGAGAACCCTGCGCTACTCTCCCAACCGCGTCACTGGTACTAAAGCCAGCGGAGATTGGTCGAGAGCACTTTAGCCACATACACACATGTCTTGAGTGAAGAATCTGGCCATTGCCAGAACTCCAATTTATACAATCTACAAAAGGTCGCGAGGCCACTGCCTTTTCAACCTTCTTGGAGGATTATAGGGATGGGAGATGCTTGATAGGGATTGTGCAAGAGGATTTGGGTGGTAAGTAAGGTTCTGGTGAAATTTGGAGAATTTTTCTGGGATAAGGTCTAGGACAAATGGGATGTTAAGGTCATGATGTAGGGTTTTGTTGGATACATAGAAAGGAGCATCGACTATTGTTCGAAGGACTTTAGACTGGAAGGATTGGATGCGTTTGATGTTAGAAAATATATTATATAAGATATTCTAATTTTCTATTATTGATCTACGTTTGCCTGTGTAGGAAATTTAATACTTTATTTAACTTATTTACTTCCACTTACCAGTATACAGTATGAGTCGAAGGAATGGGCTAAAGTCCAGGATTTAGTTGTACACAGAAAAATTATTTTTAAAAAATGCCTATGTCTTTATCCGATTGCTATTATGGAGGGTGTCTCGTAAGTAGAAGGAAATGTCTAAAGGGATGATAGCATACAAAATGCATACAAATAATTGCCCTATTTCCAGCAGAGAAGTGGAAAATTTAAGAATTGTGTTTTTTAAGCGAGTCACGTTTTTTTTTTAAATAGGAAGCAATAACTTAAAAAACATTTGATTTAAGTAATCAAACATTGCATTATAGTAAACTAGATAAAATTTACTTTAAACCAAAGTAAAGTTTGTCATTGTTAAAACAGTTTAAAAAGGAGTATTGAACGGACAAACACAGCTAAGTTTCCTTTTCAAAAAAGTCATAAATTGTTGGTGCTTTTTTTAAAACTCTTTAACTGCATTAAATTTATCCCACTTTTAGAAAAATCGAATAAAATTTCGTTAAATAATTACGTTTAAATAAAGAAACCAACTGATTGCTTCAATTATTTTCAAGAAAATGTAATTATTGAGGCTATACGCACAATACGCATCAATGCTTGTGACAGAAATCTGTGCAAAAACACACATCATAACCACCTTAGATGAAATATATTTGAAAAATCATTATTTTTAAATTTGTTGTTCTTATCAATAAAATGTGTTTTTAGGCAATTATCTTAATTACCCCATATCACGGGAAAAAGAGAAATAAAGGCTTTCTCAAAATCTTTCCTAATAAACTTCTACTTAATTAACATAGACATGAGGCTTATTAAACTAGAAAGGTTTTCTGAACGTGGAGTAAAAATAGTATAGTTGAAGGGTGTTAAAAAAAATCACAAATAATTTGTAACATTTTTTGAAACAGCTTTGTTTGTCCGCTCAATAGTTCTCTTTAAATAGTTTTAACAATGACAAAGTCTACTTTGATTATGGATAAAATATTAAAGTAATGGTTATGGATAAAATATTAAAGTAAATTTTATCTAGTTTGTTATGGAGCAATTTTTGATAACTTAAATCAAATATATATTTAATTTATCGCTTCTTATTTAACAAAAAAAAAGTGAGACGCTTAAAAAAACACAAATCTTAAATTTCTTACTTTTCTGCTGGAAATCGCGCAATTATTTATATGTACTTTTTGTAGCTCTTGAAATCTGCTATCATCCCTTTATATATTTCCTTTTATTTAAGGGACACCCTATATATATGATTACAAATATGTATTAGATAATAGGTGCGTTACCTATCAGTTTATTATTTTCTGTTAATGTATTTCTTTTTATCAATAAATGATTCAGTTTTTTTTTTATTCTCGAGGAGGTATCGAGGATTGAGACTGATCCGCTGTTAATGGGAGGCTCCTTTGCAACATTGGTCTATGTCCCAGCGACAGTCCAATGTACCGGATGCCTTGTTCCAGTCTATATTTGATGATAAACGCCGAATTTGCGAAGAGACTGGGTGTTAATGAGAGCTACCGAAGTGTGAGAGCTCTACGACAGTCGCTGAGCGAGACTTCTTTTGAAGAATGGGCCAGTTGCTGGTGGCATTGGAGTTAAGCATTTTAAAGAGACCCCGAAATCTAATAAATATATATGCCAAAAACAAGTACTTTTGCGGTCAGAATGGTCCAACGCCTTAAAATTTAGCATGAACTATGCGTGTAGTCCCAGGAGCCAGTGGACAGTCAAAGGAAGTTGGGTAAATTCGGCAGAGAGTCTGAAACACCTCTACCTGTATGCCAACCACTCCTGGAGTTTGGCCCGTTTCTCCCGACTCACTCTGCTTATTGCAAAAATAATCTACACTAATAATCTAGATTATTATATATAATCTAGATTATTAGGTATATCTAGATACCTATTTCTGTCCTATCTAATGTCTACACAATATATAATATGATAGCTTTTCCGTCCTTTGGAAACGATGGATTCTGATGAATGAAGGCAACAAACGAAAAGGAATTTCATAGAGAAGTGACGAATCCGTTTTTAAGACAACGTATTTTACCCTAACAATCTTGATACCACGATTGCCATAGATAAAAATTAAAATATCTACTACATATTATTTCTTTAAAGTTTTTTTTTTTTTGTCAGTACCCTATATATTTGTTAATCTTCATCAAATCCAGTCATTGAGCTATCATTTTGAAGAAAAATAGTCCCGTCTCCCAATATTTAAGAGAAAAAAAGTTAAGGAGAAAAATAAGTTTTATTTGCATATCACTCAAAAATATTCAATGTATGGTGGATTATACTAATAATTACTTAAAATCTTTTAAAACAAGATCATCGAAATCGGGAGTACATTAGCAAAGTTACAGCTTACAGTAATTTGTACACATGTTTTGTTTTATAATTATGAATGAACCATTGTGATTCTACCAAGAAAATGAAATTTGATTCCTCCATCTCATAATACATTGCATTGACTTATTTTTAAGTAATTTTGTCTTTGTTCATTGACCAATGTGGATATTCGCACGGCCAACAGGTGTTCCTTGATCAAACTAAATTATGAATTGTTGGTTTGGATTGCAGGCTGCCCAAGGCGCGGTACGCCTGGAAGGTGATGTGATCACCGCGAACGGCTCCCTGATGAGCGGACGTCCGCTCGGAGAATCGAGCTCGGTCGGAGAGACAGGCTCGGTGTGCAGCTGTACCTGCGCCTGCTTGCCGAAGAGGAGGTCTCCCCCTCCCTCCCCCCAGACCCCCCCTGCCACTGCCATTTCATCCCATCGCTCATCCATATGACCACAACTCAGGAATAATTATATTTCTTATGTACATTTCTGAAGCTTTAGTAATGTGTATAATGCTGTGAACTAGTGGCAAGGTCAGACTGTTTGTTAATATTTATAATTCAGGTTTATGAAGAAAAAAAAAAGTTGTCTCTTTGTGAAGTATTAAATTGTTAATATAAGTGTGATTTATTTTTTTATTTTAATTTACTTATATTTTATAAAGGTGTATTTCATTTATTATTTTATATTTTTTTTATTCAAATTTAGATAATATTGTGACTGGAGAAACTTAAGCCAATCTATTATTTTAAAATATATTGTCTTTAAGAACATTTAGTTCAAAATAGAAAATTAATGTTCCGCACTACCTAATAACATACTATGATATAGATATAATATATTTTGCAATAAAAATTCTTTTTCTTTAAAAATATTTATCACTGTTGTAATTGAAACTAAACATTAGATTCACATACAGTAGATGTTTTGTGATTCACTTTCTGTGCACTTTCACTGTTTTTATCAATGTTACAAATCGGTGACACTAAAAAGATTTCATTTGAATAGCAAATAGATAATCTTTTAGTCTATTCTATAATGATATTTATAATGACTACTTCACCAATTGAAACTAATATATGAAATCAGCAATAGGATGAAGCTTTAAAAAAAATCTTTGAACAAATATTTCTAATATTGATTATAATACTGATTTAACAACTGCTAAGAATTATTTGATATTGACAAAAATCAATAGTAACAATGAAACAAAAACATTAAATTCTTCTAGTTATCGAAGATTTCAATTTTATTATACTGTTAAAAGTTTTTCAGTTGTTCCCGATGGATATTTCAAAGATATCATTATAATTAATTTCATTTTATTAATCATTAACTATAAATGGTTCAATATTATTTCATATAATTACAGTTTATGTTAGTTTTCAATATTTTATTGTATAACAATAAATTAGATCTGAAGCACTAATACAATATTTCTTACATAACTTCTTATATAATAACATACTCAAGGCTTGTATCTATTGCTAAACATAATCATCAAGGCCCGGATTTTTTTGCAACTGCATATTTTGTTTACGTGACGTTTTTTAACAGCTGATCAAAAATCTTTGCTAATTAGTACGCTATGAAGCAATTAGCCAAATTTTATTTTGCATATTTGAGGATAAATGCATATAATTGCATATTTTGATAAATTTAACAAAATATGTAAACGAATAATTATTTATTTGTATATACAAATTAAAATGCAAAATTGAAGATGCAATTCAAGGTTACAATAGCAGATTTATTTTCAATGAACAAAATCTGCCATCTTTGTAGACTTTATACGTATCTTTCGCTATACCTTTCAATAATTCTCTTCATTGATGTTCACCGATTCCCAGAAATCTATTTCCCCTTCTCTCATGTCAGCATCAAACGAAGTTTCTATTTCAGTTTGTTGTTTTGGAAAAGTCACATATCTGTTTGCTAAAATATCATGACTAAGTTCTTCATTTTCGTCTAAGTTGAAATTCTGAATTGAATCGTGTAACAATACATATGAAACAGTTTTTACAATTGATAGAACAGTTGTTTTTTGCAACTAATGTTCTCAACAAATTGCAAGTGAAAGAAAATTACAGATTGGTCAATATAGGTGAGCTCGATTGTAATTCGCTTTGCTTTTAAGTAATCAGATCACAAAACCCTTTCTTAAAATAACTCTTACTTTCAAATAACATACTCTGTATCTATAGAGATAAAAAAAATGGAAGAGTTGGCAAATGAAATTGCAAAGAAGGTTTATTAATGAAATATATGTTTTTCGTAGAAACAAATGCATATCTTTGATTTATTGAAAAAGCCACCAATTTATACAAGTATTTTCATTAATTTTCTCTCTGTTAAATCAAAAGATTGTTCACTTTGTGAGAGTAATTTTGGCATGTAATAATTTAATCTTATTGTGATAACCTGAGATATGTTGATCGTAATTTAAAAATATGTTTTAACAAGTTTGGCTTTATCAAAAATGTATTTAGTGATTATTTGGATGAACTGACGAAATCTATGTTTGTACTAAGAACCCCCTCAACCTTCGCAAGAAAGGTGTTCCAATTTTTACTTGTGAAAGTAAAATTGACTAATGCTAAATATATTACCTAAATAATTTATAGATTTTAAAACAGTAATTAAATCTGAATAACGTAAGTTTATCGCTAAAATTCTTAATTATAATGTGCTAATAATGCAACTTTTAGTTAATTGGAATATTTTTAGATATTTTCATAAAGTGTCTGCCCGATGATAGAATCATTCTTTCAAGATTTAAACACAATATATAGTTTATTTTTTTTATAAATGAGAAACAGATTAACTCAGAATAGCTCATGAATTGGACATTTATTTTGGATAGAATAGTTTTGTAATTTTGGATTAAAATCTTAATTTATTTCATTGTTTAGTTTAGTATTAAAAAAAAAACTGAAATTATTGTAACTTTTAATTACCTCCATAATTTCTTTTAAAACTTTTTTTAGGCAGATCAGTGAATTTAAATATATTAATGGCAGATTAGTTATCAAGTAATTAGTTAGTTTAGCATATTTAGAGATTACTTACTGTATTTTTCATGCTTTTTTTACTGCATATTTTAGGGGTTTTTTACTGCATATTATATAGCATATTCTGTGAGTTTTTACTGCATAAAAATCTGTGCCTTGATAATCATGCAACATCAATTGATGGTTGAAAATTTTTTATTATTAGGAATAAATTTCATCAAATTTTTAAACTTGACTTCTTATACTGAATATGTTTTATCAAATTGGTCTGAATTTAATAATAATCTGTGGGATAAATTGAGAATATAAACTGCCAAAAGTATTCCAAAATTTGACATTCATAAGATATTGATTTTGAATAATTATTACTAATGGTTGAGTGAAAAATAAAAACAAAAATAAAATTTTGCGATTTCTCTTAAATGTCTCTCAGGCCTTCAACACATCAAAACAAGTAATGTGGAAAATACTTTTTGAGATGTTTATGAAATTTAGGCTATAAAATATTGCAGAAGAATCACATGTTTTCCATTCAAACTAAGGTATTTAAATAAATAAATTAAAATGGGGGGATTCAGTACATTTGAATCTACTGATTGTCCCATAACTGTTTTCTTAGATTAGTTTGTGATAACATGATTCTTTCTACCTCTTTTGACAAGATGTTAAAATTATTTTTAAAATAGACACTCAAAAAAAAAATGAGTGAATTTAATCTATTAAATACAGAATAATTAAAAACCTAACAGAAAGCTTGATATATTTTGTAACGGGAAATGCATTGTATTAACCTCTTCAATCAGCCTTAAAATAATTGAAATTGTTGCTTTTAAATAATTGAGTGGAACTTGAGATTCTACTTTATTAGAGGGTATGTGTAATTTCAATTGAAATCTTTGATAACTTGAAGAACACATCAGCTAAGGGTGATTAAAATGTTAGTAGTAAAATATCACAACATTAACATTGTTTCAATCCAACAGGAAAGATCTTTTGGTATAAGAAATAAAATTAATAAATGCAAGTAAGTGATAGCTCTCTTTAAAATTTAGAATTTTTGAAAATTTATTTTTACTAAACAGTATATGGAACATAAGAAAACAAAATAATACTAAAAAAATTTAAATAAGAATTGAATTTTAATCTGATTCTGAATGAAAAGCATATTTCAATTTTACTTTTTTTACTTAAGCAAATTTAATTAATAAATAAAAATAATTAACAAACAAATTTCAGAAATAACAGATCTATTTTTTTTTCTAGCATATTCATAAATGAATATCTAAGTACAAGGATCAAAATACTTGCAACCGAAATAAAGGCACCTGTAATCAAAGAATACAAATAATTTAAAGTTTCTGAAAAACACAATGTATAATTAGATACATATAAAATTAACCTTTTCATTATAAACTAAAAAACTTTCAAAGCAATAACAAAAATCCAGTTGTAAAAGTATGAAAGAGCCTTTTGCAATAATCATTATTTCTGTATAGATGCCATGTTTAGGTAATCATTAAATGAGTTAACACATTAATTATAACTTATATTTATAATGTATAGTGCAAAAGAGCTCTTTGGCTAAAGTCATGGGATAAAACTAAATACTAAGCAACTATGAAGAACACATTTTATAATCTCTAATACAGCACTGATTTAATGTTAAACAATGAATAATATCTGTCTCATTATGTAAAAACATACATAAGAAAAGTGATTTCATCACAATGTTATCTTTTTAAGCTAACAAAACATACCTATAATGAAGTGGTTCAATATGATTCTTGCCCTAAATGTTAACTAACAAGTAAGACAAATCTCAAGCATTGTTTGGTCGATATAATTGTTACTCCTGTGTATCATTCATTTACTAATATTGTTTTATGTTTTCTGTACTAGAAGCATTGTCATCATAAGTTGTTTATATTCAGTGAAGCAGCATTTGTCTTTAAGGCTTTGCTCAAAATGTAAATATGTGAAGGTACATAGATGGAAAGACTTGAAAAGGAAGAACATATATGTCAACTGATTCATTATTAACTACTATGTAAAAATTAAATTAAAAGATTCTAAAGTAAGTTAATGATTTAGATAAAAGTTGCTTTTTTTAAAATCCGTCCAGGTGTTGGTAGACTTTGTAATCATAATTCACGGACCAAGTATAGACAATAGGAATTAATTCTGTACATTATTCTTGCAATCCCATATCTTAAAATTCTTTTTACTTTAATTTAATTTTTCAAACTCATCTGTTGATTATTTTTCATTTCATTGAATTAAAAAATACTTAATAATTCTATAGAATGAGTTGGTGTACATGCTTTTCAGAAGGCATACTTAAGTATTATTGTATACTGTGTTTTTCTTTCTTCTTTTATAACTATTGAAGAGAAGAAGTTTTAAAAAAATCACAGGAAACTCTTATCTTTTATTAAGTCTAAAATTATATTGTCCCTAATTTATTTAGTAGCACCATCACCATCTCAAGGAAATGGAATGTTATTATCTTTTGAGAGACAATAATTATGAAGAATCTACGTGATTTAAAAAAAGAAAACTACAGTCATTAATTGGTAATAAAAATGCTATATTTACAAATAACTTTATTCAAATAAATGTTAATTCTAAATTTATGTTGCTTACCTTCTTTTACTGATTGAAACATTATTATATTTACTTATAAAAAAGAAAAAATAATTAGAATTAATTAATGGAATTCATGATATTTAAAAATAAAATATGTAATTGTCTTGATATAGTAAATTCAATTGATTATTTTTTAATTTCAAGGATCAAAATCAATGATTGAAAATATATCCTAATACTTTTTTTTTATGTGAGGTGTAAAAGAAATAGTTATTATATTTCAAGCCCTAATATATTTATTTATGAGAGATTAAAACCACCAAACTTAAGATCATTTGAAGACGAAGGTATTTCAAATAAATAATTGCTGATTTGTTAAATGCTGATATTATTTTTTTAAATTTAATCAAGATACATTCTATGAAAAAATACTAACACATCATGATTTAAATGGTTCATAATTGTTTGTGATT